AGGAAAGCTGCCATTTCTACATAAAACGTGCATGCCACTGTGTCTCTGCAGGGACTTTCCAGAAACCAAACCCACACACATCACATTCAGACATCCTCGTCTCCCCATTCCATCCTAAAGATCCCATTAATAGAAAGAAGAAAGAAAGAAAGAAAGAAAGAAAGAAAGAAAGAAAGAAAGAAAGAAGGAAAAGAAAGAAAGAAAAGAAAAGAAAAGGAAAAGGAGTCTGGGCACAGTGGCTCACGTCTGTCATCCCAGCACTTTGGGAGGCCGAGGTGGGCAGATCATCTCACATCAGGCATTCGAGACCAGCCTGGCCAACGTGGGAAAACCCCGCCTCTACTGAAAAATAAAGAAATTAGCCAGGTTTGGTGGCGGGTGCCTGTAGTCCCATCTACTCAGGAGGGTGAGGCACGAAGAGTTGGTTCGACCGGGGAGGCGGAGGTTACAGGGCACAGCCAGCATTGTACCACGGTTCTCCAGCCTGGGTGACACAGCAAGACAGATGGAGACCAAAGAAGGAAAGAGAGAGAGAGAGAGACAGAGACAGAGAGAGATGCAGAGAGAGATACAGAGACAAAGAAGAGGAAGAAAGAGAAAGAAGAGAAAGAACGAAAGAGACAGAAGAGAAAGAAAGAAGAAAAGAGAAAGAGACAAGTAAATGAAAAGAGAGAAAGAATGAAAGGTGAGAGACAGAAAGAAATAGAGAAAAAAAGAAAGAAGGAAAAGAAACAGAAAGGAAGAGAAAGAAAAGAGAGAAAGAGAGAGAGAAAGAATGAAAGAAACAGAAAGAGGAAGGAAGGAAAGAGAAAGAGGTAGAAAGGAAGGAAGGAAAGAAGAAAGGAAGGAATAAGAGAAACAGAGGGAAAAAAGAAGACAAGAAGAGAAAAGAAAGAAATAGAAAGATGGAAGGAAGAAAAGAAAGAAAGAGTGAAAGGCCAGAGAGAAAGAAAGAAAGGAGATAGAAAGAGAGGAAAACAAAGAGAAAGAAGGAAAGAAAAAGGAAAGAGAAAAAGAAAAACAGAATAAAGAAAGAGAAAGAAGAAAAGCAGAAAGAAAAAGAGAAAGAGAGAAGGAAGGAAGGAAAGAAAGAGAAGCAGAGAGAGAGAGAAAGAAAGAGAGAGCGAGAAAGAAAGAAAGAAAAAGAAAGAAAGAAAGAAAGAAAGAAAGAAAGAAAGAAAGAAAGAAAGAGGCCGTTGGTGGCAAGAGCTGCTCACATCCCAAGCTGAAAATCCTCATTTCCCTCTGTCCCGGAGCGTCAGGGAGAAAGCAGCAGGTGGCACACACACATACCCCACACTCATTCGGGGACCGCCCATCCACACTACAGAGAGTCACCCCACTTCTCTCCCGGCAGAAAAGCAAAAGACCTTCCGGTCTCCACAGAAACCAGCACCCCACGCACACAGTTCTCTGGGCTGCATCTGTCTCATGGGGGAGCCCTTTTTGAGGGGGAAGCCTGCCTCTGTCTCCCATATGAAATCAAACCTAAGCAAGAATATCCTCCTGGCATGTCTGGGGACTCAACCGTTCCAGCCGAGGTGACAGGAAACAACTCTTTAAAAAAAAAAAAAAAGACAGGGTTTCACCATGTTGGTCAGGCTGGTCTTGAACTCCCGACCTCAGGTGATCTGCCCGCCGCGGTTCAAGTGATTCTCCTGCCTCAGCCTCCCGAACAGCTGGGATTACAGGCACTCACAACCATACCTGGCCAATTTTTGTATTTTTATAGTAGAGACAGGGTTTCACCATCTTGGCCAGGCTGGTCTTGAACTCGTGACCTCATGATCCACCCGCCTGGGCCTCCCAAAACGGTGGAATTACAGGCATAAGTCACAGTACCCGGCCCAGTTAAGTCTATTTTAGAAGTTCAGATTCAGGACATACGCAGCAGCTCACACCTGTCATCCCAGCATTTTGGGAGGCCGAGGCGGGCAGATCCGGAGGTGAGGAGTTTGAGACCAGCCCGGTCAACAAGGCAAAATACTATCTCTGTAAAAATACAAAAAAAAAAAAAAAAACCGGGCACGGTGGTGGGTGTCTGTGATCCCACCTACTTGGGAGGTTGAGGCAGGATGAGAACCTGGGAGGTGGAGGATGCGGTGAGCTGAGTCCAGCCCTGGAGGACAACAGCGAAACTCCGTCTCAAAAAGAAAAAAAGCTTAAAAAACAAAGATCCGATTCTACAGACACCATTTCTACTCACGTGGAGTGAGATTCTAGTTGAGGGGAAATTATGACAGACGGTTATGTTTCCATTTTTCAAAACTAAGCCGTTATGGGGAGAAAAAAAATATATATATATATACATATTATATATACATTTAAATATATATAAACAGATATATAAATATATATATATATATATATATATATAAAAATATAGATAGATAGATAGATGAACACGACGCTATATAAGCGTTTTTCCCAAGTGTTTCAGACTCTGATGAATGAAGCTATATCTCAAAGATCCAAAATGCAATTCTTCTTTTAAATAAAAATCTCAGCTTCACGATAAAACCCTCTCTTTCCCTGTCTTTTTTTTTTTTTAATTCCTAGGTTTTTAAAAAGAAAACTGTTTGAATGAGGCAAACTCTCCAACCCCCGGATTAAGAGAAGCGGCAGGCGATTTAAAAACACTGACTGTGCGTTGTCTTTCTCTGTCTCTCTGTCATTTTACAGCTGTCCTAATATTTTTTTAATTAAAAAAATAATGAAGGGGGTTTTTGGTGTGTATAAAGAGTTATCAGCAAAACCTAAAATGCGATTAAAATAAAAAAGAAAAGAAAACATAAGTAGCTCAGAACTAAGGTCTTAAATAATCAGCAAAGTTACTCTTTTTTGTTTTGTTTTCTATTGAGA